GAGGCGGGTGGATCACGAGGTCAAGAGATCGAGACCATCCTGGTCAACATGGTGAAACCCCGTCTCTACTAAAAATACAAAAAATCAGCTGGGCATGGTGGTGCGTGCCTGTAATCCCAGCTACTCAGGAGGCTGAGGCAGGAGAATTGCCTGAACCCAGGAGGCGGAGGTTGCGGTGAGCCGAGATCGCGCCATTGCACTCCAACCTGGGTAACAAGAACGAAACTCCGTCTCAAAAAAAAAAAAAAAAAAAACTTTTTGGGAGGTCGAGGTAGGAGGATCACTTGAGCCCAGGAGTTTGAGACCAGCCTGGGCAATGCAGCGAGACCTCGTCTCCACAAAACATAAAAAAATTACCCAGGCAGGGTACATGTGCCCATGGTCCCAGCTACTTGGGAGGCCGAGGCAGGAGGATCACTTGAGCCTGGGAGGTTGAGGCTGCAGTGAGCTGTGATTGTATCACTGCACTCCAGCCTGAGCAAACGAGCAATATCCTGTCTTAAGAAACAAGTGGTGGCCTGGCTCTGCTGCCTCTGGCCCTAGAGAGCACTCAGCCACCCGTGCTCAGGGAAAGGCGGACGCCCCCATAAGCGGCAGCTCCCCAACACCTGGCACCTCGGGAATCCTCAGCCCAGCACCTCTGCCTGCTCCACACAGTGACTCAATAGCTTCCCAAAGGGCAGCAGAGCTATGGGGGTGGCAGCTGGGGCCCCCCGGCAGTCCTGGCCCCACACCCGGTGTGAAGCCTGGTACGCACGGAACCCACTACAGTCCCATATCTCTTTGTGAAGCTCAGGCCTGGGCTGCAGAAATGTGCAGCTGCCCGGTCCCCTCCCCAGCCATCGCGGGGGCCCCTGCCAAGGCCACAGTGGGAAGGGGAGCTGCTCTGGCCCGGTGGGCGGGACCCTGGGTTCTAGGAACTCGTGTCCTCAGAAAGGCGACCCCTGCTTTGTGTGCAGGGAAACGTAAAGCCTGAAAGTGGCCATGGAAGGGGCTTCGGGGCTGAGAACTGTTGATCTGGGCAGGCGCCGGCTGTGTGGGGAGGGCTGCAGGGGCAGGACACAGGCAGCTTCCTGGGGCGAAGCACGCCCGGATCTCAGCTGCCGGCCTCACATGGCCACTGAGTGTTTGTTTTTTTTTTTGAGATGGGGTCTTGCTGTGTTGCCCACGCTGGTCTTGACTTCCCAGGCTCCAGTGATCCTCCCGCCTCCGCCTCTTGAAGTGCTGGGATTACAGTCATAAGCCACTGCACACGGCCTGAGCTGTTGCAACGGCGCACATCTGACTGAGGAATTTCATTTTAAATCTACAATCGTAGCTGATTTCAATGGACACAGCTATGTGGCGAGCGGCCGCCACTTTGGATGGCACCGGCCAGGAGGAATGCCTCCTCCTCGCCCTCTAGCTGGACCTGGACTGGCCCCCTGAAGGCTGAGCCTGGCCCAGTGGTACCTCCATCCTGGCCACCTCCAGGTCCACCCTCCGGCTGCTGTCCTCCTGGTCCTTCCGCAGGGCGCTGCAGGCCACCTCCCGGCCCTCCTCCTCCTGCCGCAGCAAGTCGGTCAGCTTGGCCAGCCTAGAGACATCGGCTGCGGTCACACCAGGGTGGGGCTGACCCACAGGCCGGCCACGCAGCAGGTGGACGACACCCGCCCATTCCAGGGAAACAGAGGAGCTGGAAACACAGCACCAGGAGTAGGGCTGGGCCGGTGCGAGTCTTCCCGAGGGTCCTCAGCGGGCCCAGGCTCTCCAGCACGCTCAGCACCCAGTGCGGGTGCCCCTCTGGCTTACTGGGGATGCATGGCAGGGAGACCCACGTCTTGGCTCAGCCAAGGACTCTCAAATGACTCCACGCAAGGTCCGGAGCCAGCCCTGGGCGGCGGGTGCCCACCTGAGGCCGGCCTCCTGCTCGGCGCCCTTCCACTCTGCCTCCAGCTGTGCCTGCCTCCTCCGGAGCTGGCTCAAGGCTTCCCGGACCTCCACCAGCCTAGCACACAACCAAGCCGCCCCCGAGAGGCCCAGGTGGGCTGAGCAGCCTCTGGGGGCTGGGGTCCAGCTGAGGGGCCCCTGTGGCCACCTCCCAAGGCTTTCCCGGGTCTCTGTGGGCCGGCCAGGAGTGTACAAACCCGGCCCTTTCTAGCTGGACCTGGATGTGTATCCCTTACTCCAGGACACTCGGTGGGGGAAGCGTGCCCCCACCAGACCTGCCACTGCTCTCCCACCTCGGCCTCCCCGCCCCGGGCCTATGCCTCTGGGTGTGTGAGGCTTACCTTTTGTCCAGGCCCTGCATCTGGTTCTGCAGGCCAGAGAACTGAGAGGAAGAAGAGGGGGAGAAGGAGGAGGAGGAGGAGGAGGAGAAGGAGGAGGAGGAGGAGGAGGAGGAGGAGGGGGGGGGGGAGGGGGAGGAAGAGGAGGGGGAAGACGAGGCTGAAGGCTGGGCCCAGACCCGGGTCTCGCACCTGCCCTTAGAGTCCACCCAGCTCTGGCACCACTGGCCTGTGGGAACTCTGGGCCGGGGCAGCAGGCGTGAGCTGGGCTCCAGGCGCAGAAGCAGCTGCCCCTAACACCCAGAAAGGGGCAGCTAGACCTGCGGGTTTGGGGTGCCGCTCACCTCCAGTGCCTCTTTCTCGGGGGCCTGGGCCGCCGGCCACGCCTCCTGCCGCAGCTGCCTCAGCTCCGAGCCCTGCAGCTCCAGGCGGGCCCGCACCTGCAGCAGCGCGCCCAGCAGGCTCCACGTGGCGCGCTCACAGCGCTGCTTGTGCACCCGCAGACGGGCCCCCTCGGCCTGCAGCTCCACCACCCTGGCCGGGCAAGAGTGGGCGAGTCTGGAGGTGCCCCAGTGGAGGCAGAGGTCCTCCCTCCCCAGCACCCCCTGCAGGGCTCACCACTGCTCCAGCTGGCTCCAGCGCTTGGCGGTGTTCTGCTCGGGAACGGAGGCCGTGGATGTTGGGTGGCTGGATTCGTACCTCTCGGAGAGCTCTTCCAGGTTCAAGGGCTCAGGGCTGGCCAGGCCTCCAGCCAGGAGGAGCCCCAGGTCTTCCAGGGTGACGGCGCTCGGCTGGGAAGGGGCCGAGGCCCCTGAGGGGCTGCTGTCAGCCAGCTCTGCAAGGAAGCATCTTAGAAGTTCGCCCCTCGGGGCCCAGCTCGCAGTGGAGCTTATAGGAACAGGGCCCCAAATCCCTGCAGGACCCTCGCCCACCATCCAGAGCCCAACGCGTCTCCCTGAGTCATACAGAACATACAGAATCCCAATGGGCTCAGCTCAGAGAAGTCCAGGGCCTGAAGACACACAGCACTGGGCGGCAGCAGCATGGCAGCACCCCACCCGGCCAGCTCCAGAGGGAGCCCTGGGGTCAGAAGCAGAGCTGCCTCCACCCCCACACCCATGGCAGGGCCCTCCATGGGCCCCCAACCTCCAATCCCCGCCCTCGGCTCTGGCTCACCTGACATGGCTGCCTGGGCTGCACCAGCCACTCTGCCCGAGGCTATGACCCGCGCGTGGGGCCTCTGAGATTGCCGAGACCTGGGCACAGACCAGGGCGGCAGGGGCCAGAGAGAGGAAGTCCCGTGAAGACTCCAGGCCTCAGGTGTCAAGGGATGAGCTGCTGCCCTAGTCCAGATGCCTTCCCAGGGTCCCCAAGGAGGCAGGTGTGCGGGGCCAGCGGGGCTGTTCTGGAACCTTCCTTCTCTCCCCAGAACCTCGTGGCTCCACAGCCCAACTGCCAGTGGCCCTGGAGCCCTCAGCTCCCCTACTCCCACAGGCCCCGAACTGCCTGCTTCCGGATGGATCAGGGGCCCATTCCCAAGGGGGTACAGAAACCTGTCCTCTGGCAAAAGGGGCTTCCTTCAGCTGCTGGGGAGGGGCAGGAGGGAGGGACCTGAGAGCCCCAGGACAGCACAGGCCCAGCCAGGCCCCAGCTGAGCAGAGCCTGAGGCCTGGGCAGCGCCAACAGGTGGGAGGGGCAGCCAGGCTACACATAACCTCAGCCTTGCTTAGCAGCTCCATTAAAAACAGAGGCCACGTGAATCCTAACGGTTTGTTTCATGTGACCTAATACATCCACAATATTATCACTTCCAGGTACTCAGCACAGAGCCACTGCGAAGGAGCCCCGCCCCGAGTTCCTGGTGCCACCGCAGAGGCCCCGAGCTTCCTCCTTGCTTCAGCGCAGCTCAGGTACCCGCGGCACCGCCCCTGCCCCACCTCCACTGGCAGCACCTTGGCATCACCCCCAGACCTACCAGCCAGAGGCCCCCCCGAGGCAGGCTGAGGGGCGGGGATGAGGAAGAAGGCATGGCTGGTGCCCTGGTGAGGCAGGCACTTCCTATCCTGTCGGCCCAGGTGGCTGCAACCGCTGTTTTTCATGCCTCTCCTTCCACCCAGCACCCCAATCCCAGGGCCCCGAAAGGCCCAAGCTGTTAGAAATGGTCCGGGCGGGTGGCAGGGACGATGCTGGATTTATTTATTTCACACATTCAGACCCGACACACTCAGACACTTTGGGGCCCTGTAAGGGCTAAGCAGGGGGTGTGGCGTCAGCTCCTGGGGAGGCCCCACTCCCTGGGAAGGAAATACATAGCAGGGGGCCACATCCAGCCCCCCACAGAGGGACCAGTGTGGCTCTAACAGGGACACTGAGGTTGCCTCTATCACCCTGTGAGAAAAGGCCCTGCGGTGACCACAGACCCAGCCCAGCCAGCCAGGCAGGGAGCCTTCCAGGAGCCCTCAGGTGGGCAGGCGGAGGGCTTCCCAGCCCTGGTGCCCACCAGCCCTTCTAGCCACCTGGGCTGGGCCAGATGTCCTCCCAGGCCAGCAGGAGGCTGATTCCTGCTGCATTTGCACCTGGTGGCTGGCAGGGGCGGGGCTGGGAGGCGTACGACACCTGCCCACCCCAGGAAACACAGGAGCTGCGGCCAGGGTCCCCACACGCTAGGAGACCTGCCTTCCCAGCCAGTTCCACAGGGCAGCACCTCCAAGCTCTGAAGCTCGGGGACCCAGGCAGGGCTGGGTGTGGGCTCAGACTCCAAGTTCCAGGGGTCGGGGGACCCAGGCAGGGCTGGGCGTGGGGCTCAGGGCCTCAGTGGTTTTGCTCAGCTCCTGACACCGCAGCACGGGGCCTGTCATCCCAGTTCTCCGGGCCTGTGTCCTCAAGTCAGATGCAGGCTGGGGAGTGCTCGTGGAGCTCCCACTGTGGCGGCAATGCTGTGAGGCTGCTCTCTGTCCCCCCTCCAAACCCCGGCGTGACAAGTCCGTGGCTCAAGCTCAGGAACCACAGGCTGTCTGCTCATGGTGGAAAACAAGGTCAAGCCTGTGGCTGTGGGCCAGGCCGGCTCACATCTGGAAGTCCGCTGGTGTGGAGGCAAGAGGAGCCCTTCTGCAGCAGGATGGCCCTCCGGACAGCAGCGAGGTTGAGGGCTCTGTCTCATGCCCTGCTGCTGGCTCCCGAGGCCGAGAGCCACGAAGGGGGCCACACACACACACAGCTGATCCCTAGAGGCGAAGGAACCTAGGCGACGAGGGTGGCGGCTGGGCCTGCGCAGGGAGGCGCCAAGGGTGGAAACCACAACAGGGTCAGTCCCACGAGAGTCCGTCCCAGGCCTGCCGCCCCCGGCCCAACTGCAGGGTGTGCGCCATTGCCGCTGCTGGGGAGCGTGGTATGGGCCGAGAGAGCAGTGACTCCGGGAGGAGGTGCGAAGGGGCCCAGGGTGCCAGCGCTGGTGCCCACATGGGCAGGGCTGGGCCTCACGTCTGGGCCAGCGAGAGCTCCTCCAAGCCTCCCTTCCCCAGGCGGTACCTGGCGAGGTCCTTCCTGGTCACCAGCCCAACAACCTGCAGGACAAGGCCAGGCCACAGTGACCCATGGGTCAGCCCTCACCTGCCCGTGGAGGCCCCTGGTCAGCACAGCCAGGAGCCCTGCAGGCTTCAGCACAGCCCCTGAGCTGAGCACAGGGCTGGGAAGGGGTGCAGCCATGGGGCATGGGCCGTGGTGCTGGGTCTGTGCGTCAGCGTCCCCGGCAGGGAGCTAAGCATGTGTAGGAGACAGAGGGGCCCTGCACAGCCCAGCACATCCCCGCCCCCGCTCACCTGATTGCGGTTGTCCACCACCACCAAGTGCCGCAGGCCCAGGGCCCGGAATAGCTTGAACACACGCGGGAGCGACGCCTCCTGCAGGGGGACACAGCTGTCAGCAGCTGCCCACATGCCAGAGGCAGGCAGGACCTCCCCGTGGCTCCCAGCACCCACTCCACGGTGTCCAGGCACGTCCTGGGCCTCCATGCCCGTCTGGTCAGCCTGTTCGGCCTCCGACTTTGGCTCTATGACCCAAACCCTCAATCCCTGCTGCTGCCCAGGGATCCTGGAAACCCTGCCAGGCCCCCTTCCCGGGAGACAGTCACTGAGTCCCAGCCGCCTCTCGCCCTCCCTTGTGCCCCTGGCCACCCCTCCAGGAGGCTCTGGATCACACAGCCCACTGTTTGGCCCTGAGCCCCTGCACCTCCACTCTGCACGTGCCTGGGGCACTGTGTAGGGGGAGGGGTTCATGAACTCGGAGAGGTCCATGGTGCACTCCCGCTCGTCCTGGGACACGTGGATGGACTGGATGGGCGGGAAGCGCGGGTAGGCATCGCGGAAGTCCTTCAGCCTCAGGCGCCGCTGCACCAGGCCCATGTTGGAGCGCTCGACAAACACCTGTGGGTGGCAGATCCCTGATCAGGCACCTGTGCGGCATCCCAGAGGCTTGCACCCGCTGGCGCTCCAGAGCCTGGCACGTACCTTGTGCTTGAGGAGGACGATGAGCTGCGAGCGCAGGATCAGGCCCTGGAGCCGAGCCGGCTGCAAGAGATGCCCGCTGTCAGAGCCACGGCCCCTGAGGCAGGGCTGCACTGGATGCTGTGCCGGGCCCCAGCTCCGGCCCTGCTCTAGCTCAATGCCCCATATGGGTGTGGGTGCTGTGTCAATGGCCACCTGCTCATACCAGCCTTGCCATGGCATTCCACGTGCATAATGCCATGGGTTCCCAAGGATCAGTGACAGAGCAGCGGGTCTGACCGTACACAGCAGAAAGCCAGGGGCCCAGGGAGGGGCGCTCTGCTGTGGGGCAGATGCAGCTCCACTGTGCCCAATAAAAACCAACCCCAAATCCCCAGTGTCCACGTCCAAGGGGTGCATGGCAGTGGCCGAGCTGCGTGTCCTGTCAGGGCCTCCTGACGAAGTCCTGGCCCCCAGTGCCGTGGGTATGCCCAGCCCGGTGCTGACCTCAAGGCCCTGACAGGCCACAACCCCACCCAGCCTCGGCACCCACACGGCCCTACGTGGCCCCACACTCAGCTCCTGGCGCTCCCAGAACCGACAGGTGCACCCGAATGCGCTGCCTCCCGTCCTGCCAACCTCGCCGTGTGCTTCCCACAGCTGGGCTGGACAGAGGGTGTGAGTGAGACCCGGTCTGTGGGGCGCCCGGTACCTGGCTGTCATCTGCATGCTCCACCACGGGGAAGCCATTGTGATTGGACGCCGTGTCGCTCAGCACGTCCACGATGACGCCGACCTTCTCACGCCGCCTCAGGCAGGTCACCGGTGTGCTCATCACCTCCCTGCCAGAGGAGCCCGGCCACACACGCCCGTCATGCGCCACCAACTCCCATGGTCACCCCCACAGGCTGCTGGGCGGGAAACGCAGAGCCGCCTGGAGCCCGCAGCCGCACATCCCGCCCCAGTGCAACAAGAGCCACCAGACAGCCTCCCCGCCCACAGCTGCCACATGCCATACCTGGCAGTGAGCGAGTGCGAGGTGACCGGGGCCTCCCAGTGCAGGAAGGGCACGCTCTGCAGCTGAATGTGCATGTCGTACAGGCCCTGCAGGTGGACGGGACACGGGGCTGGAGGCCACGCCCACCCCTCGGGACAGGCTGTTTGGAGACTGGCTCTCAGAGACCCCTCCCCGCCTCCACACTCTCAGGGTGAGGCTTCGAGGCCCGGCGCACCTCGATGAAGACGTCACCCACGATCTTGGCAGTCATGAGCACCAGCATGATGGGGAAGCCGTAGGTCACGTTGCTGGTGGCCTCCATCATGATGACCGTCAGGCTCAGGGTCATCCGCACGATCCCACCTGCGGAAGCAGTCATGAGCCCCGGCACATCCACCCTGCCAGCTCAGGATCACGTGGCCACCGCCTTTTCTGTGCAGCCCACGGTCCGCCTGCCCCAGACCTGAGCCCTGCAAGGACAGCCACCGCCCCCTTCTGACCCTGTCGAGGCTCCCCGCCCACCAGGCAAGAGCCAGGACCTACCCAGCTGAGCAGCAGCTCCCATCAGGGCGTATTTCCCGGGGTCTGCCCAGATCTGCAGGAGGTGACACGGAAGTGTCAGTGTGGTGGAAGGCCCCTGCCCAAACCCACCAAGATACAGACAGAGGAGGCCCTGCCCTGGAGCCCCACGCCCAGGAGCCAACCCTGTGGCGGCAGACACACGTGCATGGGCTGCTGGGGACACCGCACCCTCTGCCTGGACCCGGCATTCAGTGCATGAGCAACAGGGGAGCGACAGGGTGCGGGTGCAAAGGCCACAGTCACCCACGCAGCATGCCCACGCTGACTGGGGGGCACCGCCCAGCCTGAGGAGCGGAACTCCAGCACACAGGACACAGAGGGCCCCGGGAACATGAGGCTTGGTCACAGAACCCACGCACAGAAGGGCACTGACGGTGACCCCACGAAGAGGCAGTGTCGGGGGCAGGCAGAGCCAGAGTCCGGAGGACCACGGTGGCTGCCGCGGCTGGGGGCCGGGAAACGCAGGGCATGAGTGCGGGTGGGCGCAGGGTTTCTGCTCTGGGACGGAACGTTCTAGAAGTGGTAGTGACAATCAAACTGCCTCATGAATGTGAGAAACGCTGCTAAATTGTCCACTTTAAAAGGGTGAACCTTATGGCACGTGAATCATGTTTCCATTTTAAAAATCAAACCAAATCAAACACTTGTGCAGAGGGAGACAAGCAGAGCACAGGGGCCTGAGGAGCGGGATGGGGGCCTCCAGTCGGGGCCTCTTAAAGGCTTTCAGTGTCATTTAAATGACTGAAATGAGACATGGAGAACACACGGAGGAACCCAGCCCCAGCGGAGGCAGGCGGAGGAGGCAGGCCTGCGGGGGCCGAGGTCCCCCGGGCAGCGGATGCTGCTCTGGCCCCAGCCTCCCGGAGAGTAGCCCTGGTGGGGTGTCTACCCCGTGGAGTCCACAAGCACCTCTGCAGCAGCCCAGAGTCACCCTTGCCTTTCACCACATTCTCACGAATGAGGACAGAAGCCTCCGCCCCAGCCTCGGCCGGGTCCAGACTCCACGCAGGGGCTGTGCTGCCACGGTGAACCTGCTTCCCCCACAGCGGGACAACCGCCACAGCCTGTGAACCATGCAAGGCGCAATGCTTTCCTCATCCCACCCCGGAACCCCTGCTCCGGCCCCACTCACCGCTGCCCCCGTGAGGTACGACAGGGAGATGCCAAAGAGCCGGCCCCAGGCGGCCCCGATGAGCAGGGATGGGATGAAGACCCCAGCAGACACTGTGAGCCCGTAGGTCCAGCAGGCCAGGAAGAAGTAGACCAGTGTGAACAGGCCGAGGGTCAGGGGGTTGTAGGAGCCTGGGAAAGAAGAGGGGCTGACGGGGCCTCCACAGGACTCACGCCCAAGGCAGGACGACCCTGCCCTGCTGCCCAGTCTCAGGCCTTAGTCACCTTCCGGGATCCTAGCAATCTGAACCCCCAGGCCCCGCGGTTCCCAGAAGCCTCCCTGTTCTCAGCCTCCCAGGGAAGCAGAAAGACTGGAGTGTGGGTAACCCCCCATATAGGCACTGAGGAATGAGGGCTAAGCAGAGCCCTGGCACAGTTAGGGCTTGAGGGATATCTCACTTTATAGTGTTACTACTCAGCTATTTCCTTCTGTATTTCCTTTACATAATCATATATTAGTTTATAGAAATAGGGCTTGAAGGCTCCCTTTATATAATCCTCTATATATAATCATATAATAGTTGATAGCATGAGTGCCTAAAGAATATTTCCCTACATATACACCCATAATTATATCTTAGTTCATAGTCGGAGGATTGCCTAGAGCAGACACAGTACAGAGCATGAATTAAGGAATAAGCAGCTTATAATCGGAGGAATGTCTGGAGCAGACACAGTGCAGAGCATGATTTCAGGGAAAACAGTTATACCGGGACCAGAATCCATGGCCCAGGCGGCAGCGTTCAGTATCATAAAGATACCCGCTGGATGGCAGGCTTGGGGGGAGGGCCACTCCTTCTGATAAAGGAGTTGTAGGACCTTGCTCCAGTTCTTGTGGAAGGCTGCCCTCAGAACGGCAATCCACCTTGGTGACTGTGAACTTTATCAGCTCTTGCTACTGTGCTGCTTGAAAAGCATCTTCCCACAGAACCCACTGGAAGCTGCCAGCAGGTGGCGGTAACCCTGACAGCTCTGTCACTGCTGTGTGACTTAAAGCATCTTCCATAAATCTTAGTAGTTTCCCAGATAGACGTATTGCACACTGCACCCTCTTCACTGCGCACGGCCCACCTTCAAGCCTCGGTGACCTAATGGGGGTGGACCCCTTACTGCACACGGCCCTTGCCTTCATGGGAATGGGCCCCTTGCTGCGCACTGTCCACCTCCTGGCCTAGGTGCCTAATGGGGGTGGACCCTATGTTTTATTGCTCATGACCCTATCACTGTCCTTAAAGATGATTTCACTCACTGCCCTGCCCCCTAACCTGTACACAATAAATACTCATGCTTCTGGACATTCGGGGCCTCACCTGACTCCGCTTATAGATGGTGTGGCCCCCCGAGCCCAGCTGCATTTTCTTTGTACTTCTGTGTCCTGTCTCTTTATTTCGCGGATCCTGCGCCTCAGCACAGCACAAGGCTCACCCACGACCCTGTGGGGCACTCAGCCCTACATCTGGCTCCCAACGTGCCCTACGTTGGAGGATCCCATGGGGAAGGCGCAGGGAAGGAGGCTTCACGGGCGGGCACCACGGTGCAGCTTGCAGCCTGGCTCTGGGAAGAAGGCACCCTCCACAGCCTGGAGGTTCCTTCCTGGGGCATTACTCTGGGTGTGGGGCGAGCGGGGCCACTGGGGAATGCAATCGCAGAGGTACAAAGCAGGTGCTCCAAAGCCGTGGTCTGGCTTCCATGAAAAACTGTGGTCGGCACAGTGTGGGCCTTGCACAGTTTGAGGGTTCGCCGTCTCTCAAAAAAGAGAAGAAAACCAGGCTGGGTTTCTTTTTTTTTTGAGAGAGGGTCTCGCTCTGTCACCCAGGCTGGTGTGCAGTGGTATAATCACGACTCACTGTGGCCTCAACCTCCTGGGCTCAAGTGATCCTCCCGCCCCAGCCTCCTGAGTACCTAGGACTGTGGGCGCACCTCTGCCCCCAATTAATCTTGCTTTTTTCGTAAAGAAAGAGTCTTGCTGTGCTGCCCAGGCTGGTCTTGACCTGGGCTCAAGCAATTATCCTGCCTTGGTCTCCCAAAGTGCTGGGATTACAGGAGTAAGCCCTTGCTCTAGCCCATGCTAGGAATGATCTCCCAGCCCAAGGCTGCGACCTCAGTCCACAGGGGACACTCAGCCAGAAGGCATCATCCAAGCACCCGCCCGGCGGCACTGTCCACACACACCTGGCGGGTCGTGGAAGAGGCTCACCACGCTCTTCTCCGGGGTGTTGAAGAAGGCCGCAGCCATGGAGTTGTACTCGCCATCTGCACAGAAGAGCTGTGAGGTCGGGAGAGAGCAGGTGTTGGGAGGGGAGACAGGCCGGTGCGCTGCAGGCAGCCTTGGTGTCGCCATGTGCAGCCATGCACGCTGCCTGGTCAGCATCGGAACGAGACCATACGACCCTGCCACTGGGTCAGGGCCACAGTCACAGAAGGGAAGGAGCACACATGGCTCAGGTCCAGACCCAGCAGAGGCTGCAGAGCCACATCCAGCCCTGGGGTAGGTCAGCAGGCCCCTGGGCTGGGAGGCCGTCTGTCCCTGGAGCCAGGGCAAGGTGGGCCCAGATGCTCATGTCAGCTCCTAGAGGAGGCTGTCTCTGGGCTCCGGCAGCACTGGGGCTGCTGTCCACGGATGGGAGCGGAATGCAGCAAGGCTGGTCAACCCCACAGCCTGGGCCTCCCACACTTCTGACTGTTCACGTCTGTCTCGTCAGCGCCCACCACATCCTGCCTGCCCCTGCCCCGGTCCTCATTGGTCTGCTGGGGCCTGTGACTTTCCCTGTTCTGGGTGTTTCATATTAACAGAGCTACACCCCGTGGCCTCCTGTGTGGCTCCTCTGAGCACGGTGTCTTCCAGGGCAGCTGTGTCACCATGCAGAAGGACACATGGGCTATGGTGAGCCGTGAGCACCAGGCACAGGCTGGGGTGTGGACGGAGCTTTGTATTTCTCCTGGGTCCACATCTATGGGGCCCCAGGCTTCTGAGGCTCTCCTCGTCAGGCTGCCATTCTGGGATGGGGACTGGGAGGGCCTTTGGCCCCCACGCCACCGCCTGCTCCCAACACCTCGGCAGACACTTGGCCTGCTCTCAGATCTGGGCGGACGGCACTGGCCCTCCCTGAGACACGCGAGCCAGTGTGCTTCTAGAACTCCGCGCGGCGGGCAGCCCCCTCCCGAGGCCGCAACAAGGCTCCTGGAGGCCCTGCGGCTGCCTGCCTGCTGGACCCCGCCCGGCACGGGCCTCCTACCTGCAGCGGGTAGGACATGGAGCTCCCCTGCAGGGGCTGGCAATCCCGAGACGAGTAAATCAGCACAAAGGCGACCGTGGCCGTGACGGCGGCCACCAGCATGGCCTCGATCACCTGCAGGCAGGGCCGGTGGATGTACCTGGAACCAAGAGTCAAGCTGCACCATGGGCGACATGGCAGCACGGTCCCTCGGCATTTGCCAGGCAACCTGAGTCCCTGGTCAAGGACACTGGGCCCGTGTTTCAGCAACAGTCAGGAGCCCCAATGTCCTGGGGTCGTCCTCCTCCCTGGGGCAAGGACTCCCACAGCAACTCTTCCTGACGAGTGGGAGGCAGCCCTGCCAGTGCTCCTGCTGCGCCCGGCAGTACTGAAACGGGCACGGACCAAGAAGGAATAAATCAGGAGCCCCCGGCGTCCAAGGACAGCTCCGGCTGCTGCTGGGCAGAGCCGGGCTAAGGCCAGGTGTGCCTCACTAGGCCTGATCCTGCACCCACAGTGGCCTCGCTTCCTCCCCAGGGGCCGTCCTCCAGGAGCCCTTGCTCTCCCAGCGTTGGGCTCGCCTGTGCCCTCCAGGGTCCAGGACACATCTCTGAGCAGCTCTAGCGGGGAAGCCATCAGGGTGGGCACTGAGCACATAGCCTTTCTTCCAGACATGGCCAAAGAGCATAAACCCCATGCCACATCTGTTTTTTTTTCTTTTTTGAGAAGGAGTCTCACTCTGTCACCCAGGCTGGAGTTCAGTGGCCTGATCTCTCAGCTTACTGTAACCTTTCATTCCCAGATTCAAATGATTCTCCTGCCTCAGCCTCCCAAGTAGCTGCGATTACACTCGCCCACCACCACCAGGATGGTCTTGATCTCCTGACCTCACGATCTGCCCGCCTCGGCCTCCCAAAGTGCTGGGATTACAGGTGTGAGCCACCGTGCCCTGCCTAACACATCTGCTTTCGAAGGGCCTGTGTGGCCACGCCTGCCAGCACAATATGCAATGCGGTTTCTCCCTCACCTGATTCGAAACATGGTCAGCCAGTAGTTCAAGGCGTTGAACACAGCTCCGAGCACACCGCCTGCGGCCAGAGAAAAGCCCAGTCGGCTACGTGGGAGGGAAGGTGCAGGCCTCCGCCCGCTGCCTCCCAGAAGGTGGGAGAAGCTCCAGGGTTTACAGAGGGAAGGGGATGGCAGGGGGTGGGGTGGGGGGTCCCAGTAAGATGCTTCCTCTGCATTGTCACAGGGCTGGGGGGCTGTTTCTCAAAGGCTCTGCCTTCCTTCCAGAGAAAAGGTACAATAAACGCTGTTAGGACCAATCCTACCTCCTGGAAGAAAACCCATCCACCCTGCACCCTGCTGTTTTCCCCACAGAGAAAAAAACAATAGGAAGCACAGAAGCAAAGCTTTTTGAGTGTGCTGCCCGTGGAAGCATCTGGAGGGAGCAGGCCCCCTGGTGGCCCTGGGATGGGGGCAGGCTCGAGGCTGGCATGGCCTCCAGTCCTTGCCTCTCTGGCCTGTCACGGCGGAGCTTGGCCCACAGGCCGCCTGCAGCGCTGGGGGAGCCCTTACCTACCACGCCCATGGCGATGAAGACAGGGATCTCGTGGATGGTGTAGGCCATTTTCTGTGGAGAGAGGAGAAGGCGGAGGAGGGGAGGGAAAGGGCCCACTGCTCCTCTCTGCTGAAACTCAGGACCACCATCGTGAGAGAGCTGTCCCCACACGGGGCCTTCCCGCACTTCCACGCAGGCTGCAGAAGTCCACGGGACGGAAATGCGCTGGGTGTTTGGAGCAGGCCTGGCCCTACACGACTCTGCCACTTCCTGCCACCCTCAGCACCCAGGCGGGGAGGGCCTGAAGCACTGGGAACACCGTCCGTGAGCCCCGGGTTTTCCGCACAGAGCCGTCCTGCAGTGCATCCAGAACCCGCCCCGTCAACGGCACGGAGAGGCCGCAGCCCAGGCCCCAGGCTGCCCTGTAAACAAGCCCCGAGCCCACCGGCCCCCACAGGGCTGCTGCACGTGCCCAGGCTGCGGGAGGTCCCACGCACGTCACAGCTGTGTAACGTGTGCACACGGCACCGGACCCGAGGCAGCTTGGGGCGCCGTACTGCAGCCCCTCAGGCCCTGGAGCTCACACAAGAGCTCAGCTCCACAGTGACGAGCCAGAGTTTCCAAATGACCGAATTCTCAGTCTGGCCTTAAGCAAACAGGGTCCTGGCCCAGGACTTGAGGGGGTGAGGCGGGCGAGGCGGTGAGGTGGGCGAGGCGGGCAGCTTACCTCCGAGTCAAATCTTCCGAAGTTGATGAGGCCCGGGCTGGACAGGTCCCACATGTTCCCGTGGTAAATGCTCAGAACAAAATTCAGGGTGAACGTGGAGATCATGGAAGCAAAGAACTGCGGTGGAGAGCAGAAAACCAGCGCCCTCAGAGCCTTGCCCAGACCAGGGCCCAAGGACCAGCAGGGACTACCGCCCCGCCTGTCAGCTGGGGGCCAGGAGTCTGCAGATCCCGCCCCAGGAAGAAGGGAAGGGGCTGGAGCCAGGGGCAGACACACTGTGCCAGGAAGGAAGTGCCCAGCCGTCTCTGGACTCGCCAGTGGAGGGCAAGAGGGGACAGTGGGGCAGGGTCTGGGTTCCTGGCTGTTTGATCCCCTGTCTGGAGCTGGCAGTGGTGACCAAGACCAAGGGTGAACTGGGCAGCAAAGGCACGACCACTGCTTTAGGCAGGGATGGGGCCTGACAGACCCACAGGGGTCCAGCTCCAGCCGCAGCTCGATGGGCGGCCCCAGGATGGGGACTGAGCGCAGCAGCCACCCTGACGGGGCAGCAGCCATCAGCAGGCACTTACGATTCTCCATGTCAGGAACTGGTTCCAGAATGATGCGCCCTCCTCCAGGCTGAACAGGACCCCACCTGGAAGGGAGGGCCGACTCAGGTGCCAGCTGGACACAGGGCACCATGCTGACCACCAGCTCCTGCCCACAGGCCACAGGGAGCCCAGACTACGTCAGAAGGAAGCTACTGGGGTGGGCCCCAGCCACACAGAGAGGGACCCCGAGGGAGGTCCGAGGGCCAGGCCCATGTACGCTGACGGCTACTGCCTGCCACTTCCAAATCCCCCAGCTGTGACTCTGAGCCTCTTTCTGCCCACCCTCAGCAGGCACTGGGCCTGCAGACAGGAAACTATTGCTCCAACCCACGGCGTGAGCACAGCTTCCCAGACCCCGCCGGCCATGAGGCTCCCAAGGGCAAAGCTTTGGACCAGGCACGGCCCTCCTCACCCACGGGGGCTCCAAACGCCGCTGACACTCCGGCTGCGGCCCCTGCGGAAACGAAGTCCCGCTTCTCTGTGTCTCTGCGGAAGTACTCGAAGATCTGCAACAGGGACACAGGGTTGGGGCACGTTCCTTGAAGGCGCAGCTCTCAGAAAGAGAGAGTGGCCGAGGGCGGCCCAGACAGGGGCTGTGCAGGGGAAGGGGCTTTCGGGATGATTGAGTCACCAGCTCTGATTCCAGAAGGGCACCACGCTGCAGACCACGGCAAGAGACAGCAGGGTCAGCACTGCCACCAGCAGCCCAGAGAAACACGGAAAGACTCAGCCAGGAACTCGACTTTCCAGGACACGCAAGATTCCAAAAACCTCTGCTCTCTACCAAAAACCGCATGGATGGAAACCACGAGAACACTGCCTGCCTCTGAATGCACACATGGCCGGGCGCAGTGGCTCACATCTGTAATCCCAGCACGTTGGGAGGATGAGACGGGCGGATCACCTGAGGTCAGGAGTTCGAGACCAGCCTGGCCAACATGAAGAAACCTAGCCTCTACTAAAAATACAAAAAAATTAGCCGGGTGTGGTGGTGCCCGCTGTAATCCCAGCTACTTGGGAGGCTGAGACAGGAGAATCGCTTGAACCCAGGAGGTGGAGGCTGCAGTGAGCCGAGATTAAACCACCACACTCCAGCCTGGGTAACAGAGACTCTACCTCAAAAAAAAAAGAAAGAAACATAAATTCACACACAAATGCAGCTGGATCCCCATCAACATGCTGGGGGCTTTTTTGGGAAAAAAACTGTTCCAAAGTGTATCCTGAGAAATGAGCATCAGGTGGACACCCTCGGTCTCCAGTTTTGTGCTCCTCTGAGAAGCCGCGTGGAGCCACAGACCGTACTGGAAACGCAGACACGTGTGTGGCAGGGGCTCCAGGAGGGAAGCGTGGAGCAGTGAAGGCTTGCAGGCAGGGACTGTGACCAGCGGCTCTGGGAGCCACCACCAGGCTGTCCTCAGAGGGGCTGGGGCTCTCGGCCAGGGGTGCTGAGGGCAGCCCAACTCCCTGAGCGGTGCCCGCGCCCATGCTCACACCCATGGCATCTGCAGCCCACCCACGCAAGGCAGAGCGTGGAACTCACCTTGAAATCTCTTTTGAGTGACGTTGACCTTCCTTGAGAGATCCCAGCAGCAATCACCGAGCCTGAGTGGATCATCGGCCCTTCCTGGAAGACCAGAAGCACGAGCACTCAGACACGCGGGCACGGCGTCCCTCTCGGCCCGAGCTGGGTGACCATGTGCACTGTTACCTTTCCCACGGCCAGGCCCCCGACCACGGACAGGATCACACCGGACACTTTGATCACTAGCGTCTGAAACACAGGAAAACATGTGGCCTCTGATCAAAGGGCAGGTGCTGTCCTTGGACCTGAGCTGCACACACAGCTCTGATCGCGCAGGACGGCCAGGACACGGGGCTTCCAGGACGGGCCAGCACCCCCACGGCTGGGCCTCCCCATGGCCACAGTGGGCGCTACCCAGCAGCCAGCGTCCCCGCACACGCTAGGGAGTCCTGACTCTGTGGGCCTCAGCATTCAGTAGGGAAGGGGCGCTTTCCTTTTCCTTCTTCCTGAGGCAATGCTGGGCTGCCCACCCCATCCTACAGGCATAGGGAAGGAGTTCCCGCCAGCCCGGCCAGGCCCAGTGCGGCCCCTCACAGACCCCCAGCACAGAAGGAGTGGCCACTTGCAGCTCCACAATGCCCCCCAGCCGCTCCCCACCCCTGGGACCTCATCCTCTCCACCTGAGGGGGTGTGTAAAGCGTGTGCCATCAGCCTCCCTGCCCCAGGCCAGAAGCCATGAGGCTGCAGACCCCAAACAGAAGGGCGCTCTGAGCTGTGGGGTTGGCTCATGTTAAAGGTGCTGAGGAAAGCAACCTCAAGCCTCAACCAACAAAAGATACGAGGCAATATCCTAGAAGGCTCCAGCCAGCCTGGCATGGGTGACAGGCCGGCCACCATTCCCAGCTGCTTCAGGAAACCGTATCTCCCACCACAGGGCAAGGGCACCCCAAGGTCATCCGGCAGCTTTCGCCAGAGGGGACACAGCACCCCCCGAAACACTCTCAGGGGGCAGCTGCCACACTGCCCACTCCTCCTCAGATGGGACCGGGCTCCAGCAAGTCTCAGGCCACAGAACGCGGGCGGTACACACAGAAGTGACCACAGCAGAACCGGGCCAGGGCTACCAGCGCCCCCAGAACGAGATGCTCTGCATAACGCCAGGAGTAAGTGAGCACAGGCCAACTGTAAATGGGAAATACTGCTAACGCCCACCACCGCGACAGCTTCCACCGTGTACCCGTCACCGCCACGCAGCCCGCAGTCACAGACACACGGCACAGCTGTGGCGGTACATGGAACATGCGGCATTTCTCCACGACCTACTCATTTTTTACAAGACTCAGTATGTGCAAATACCAGTTTTTACCACTTAAAAAAAGAGCTGACCCCTTGACACCCAACCAGCCCATCTGCCCTCAGCGTAACCAGCACACAAGGTGGCCGAGGCCAGTTCTGGAAGGCGGGCAGACAAAAGAGCTGTTCCCGACGTGGCGAAGAGCTTGCACCCACCCACGGCCAGCCAGGCCCGCTGAGCCCGCACCTTGAGCCGCACCACGTGGGGGATCTTCACCCCGTTGAGGAAGCACTTGATCTGCGGGATTCCACTGCCGGCTGCCACTGGCTGAAACGGGAAGCACAGATGAGTGGGTCACGGCCAGGCTGAGTCAGAGCCCCACAGCCCAGGAGTCGGGGAGCTCAGCACGCATGTCAGGGTCGCACGTCGGGGCTCAGCTGCTCTCACTCTTCCCAGCCCAGACATAGATCAAGGACACAGTGGGGGTGGAGGTGGAGATGGAAGGAGGGTAGCGCAGGGTGAGGAGGCTGCAGGAGGGAGGGAGCGGGGTCTGTGGGGGCCCCGGGCCTGTGCTGCTGGGTCAGGAGCAGTGCCCCAGGGCTCTGAGTGTGAAGAAGCCCTGGTTTGTCTGCTCCTCCTGAGGTCCACGTGATTCTAGAAAGTTGCCAGCCAATGGGACAGTGTGGGGAGGTGAGCTCCAGGGGTTCCCACCCGTTCACCCACACACCCAATCCCACACGGGGTCTGACAGCCTGGGGGCACCCTGCCACGTACCTCTATGAAAGCCACAATCACGGAGCCCACGAGCACGAAGGCGGCATTCAGCGTGGCCCACAGCAACAGGGAGAAGGACAGCCCGCCCTTCTCCGTGAACTTATCAATATCTGGGGCTCATCAAGGAGGGTCTGCAGCTTCACTGTCAGGACCACCCACCCTGGACTCCGGCCCTACCCCATGGCCCAGCCTGGCAGATGCCACCCTGCTCAGCGGAGCCATGACGCTCACTGGACATCCCAGAAACATCTCAGGGCCCAAACACGACGGGGACATGGCCAGTGCAGACAGGTCACCTCCACCTGCCCTGGAACACACCAGGCTCAGGGCTTCTGCCCGGGACTGAGCCCAGGCCGCACCCCCCAGCCACCCCCAGCGGCACCCGCCGCACTGGGAAGGATACTGCCCTTGATGACCCTGTACTTCAGGCCGGCCAGGTTCTCCACCACGATGTCGATGAAGCAGGCCACAAGGCCCGTGAGGATCCCGATGAGGGCGCAGATGACCCAGCGCTTGATCTCCACCGTCCGGAAGGCCTGCGGGCGCACGGGCAGAGCGAGGGACAGGGCAGGGCCCTGACTCAATTGCTCTGGCAGCAGCAGGACTGTCCCGGCCGCCTGCAGACTCCGGGATTCCGAAGGCCCCAGTGCGGTGAGTCCCACAAAAGGCAGTTTCTGGCTAACATCTGAGCAACCAGGGGCACCCGGGGCCTGAGGGTGACTCCCCACAGATTCACAACCAGTGCTTGCTACGCTGGGCGCCGCATCTGGCGGCCAAAAGAGCAGCCTTCTCGGGAACGGTGACCATGACTCTCCCTCCATCTCCAGAAACCAGAGGAACCCGCGGGCCTCGGAGGCTCGGGGTCGGGAGGACAGGGAGGGATGCACCCCCTCTCCCCAAGCCCCGCGCCGTGGGCCCTGCAGGCAGCGGCGCCCAGCTCACCGCGTGGTTGATCCGCCGCTCCTCCTCCAGGAACAGCTGGTTCTCACTGTTGTCGTAGTCCAGGCTCTGCAGGCCGGGACAGCAGGGCGAGCGCTCAGCACCCACCCGGCACTCCGGGGATGGGCACCGGAGACCGGCGGCGGGCTTGGGGGGCAGAGGCCAGGTCTCAGGGCTGGGGGAACAGGGAGCGCCCACCTCATACTTGAGGGACAGGAGCTTCTCGTTGTGCGGGATCTCCTTGGGGAAGGGATGCGGAGGGTCCATATCCTGTGGCAGAAAAAGGCAAAGAAAAGGCCACAGATGAAAAGGCCACCCACAAGGAACAAGGCACAGAGGCGGGGGCGCCCCTCGGCGCACTCCCGAGGCGGGTATCACCCCGACACGAAGGACAAGGGCATGGCAAGAGAACCACATGCCGGTGAGGTGGCTCGCTCCTGGAATTCCGGCACTTTGGGAGGCCGAGGTGAGCGGGTCACCTGAAGTCAGGCGCTCCAGACCAGCCTGGCCAACAAGGTGACACCATGTCTCTGCTAAAAATACAAAAATTAAGGCCGGGCGCAGTGGCTCACGCCTGTAATCCCAGCACTTTGGGAGACTGAGGTGGGTGGATCACAAGGTCAAGAGATCGAGACCATTTTTAAAAATTTTTTTAAATAAAAAAAATGATAATAAGAATAAAAATACAAAAATTAGCCGAGCTTGGTGGCGGGCATCTGTAATCCCAGCTACTCGGAGGCTGAGATGGGAGAATCATGTGAACCGGGGAGACACAGGCTGCAGTGAGCCAAGACCGCACCACTGCACGACAGCTTGGGTGAGAAAGCAAGAATCCATCTCAAAAAAAAAATAAATAAAACTACAGAACAACACCCCCACAACCACAGACGCAAAGATCTTTGGCAAGACACAAGCAAAACGATTCCAGCAACGCCGGGGCAAAGTGGATTCAGCCTAGGAAAACAGGGTAGTTGAACACCCAAAATCAATCCATGAGGCCAGGTGTGGTGGCTCACACCTATAATCCTAGCACTGTGGGAGGTGGAGGCAAGAGGATCAGCTGAGGCTGGGAGTTCAAGATCAGCCTGGGCAACAGAGAAGACCCTAATTTTTTTTTTTTTTTTTTTTTGGTGTAAGTATTAATTTAAAAGAGATTTGCTCTGTTGCCCAGGCTGGAGTGTAATTGCTCGATCTGGGCTCACTGCAACCTCCATGGGTTCAAGTCGTTCTCCTGCCTCACTCAGCCTCCCGAAACGCTGGGATTACAGGTATGTGCCACCACGCCTGCCTAATTTTTGTATTTTTAGTAGAGACAGGGTTTCGCCATATTAGCCAGGCTGGTCTCCAACACCTGACCCCAAGGGATCCATCCGGCCTGGGCAACACAGTGAGACCCCAACTCTAAAAAAAAAAAAAAAGAGGGGCATGGTACTGGCACAAGGACGACATTCAGAAGAACAGCACAGAGCTGAGAGTCCACACAGAAATCCAAAACACGTACGGTCCACTGATTTTCCACAATGGCATCAAAACAGTTCAGTTGAGAAAGGCAGTGTTTTCAACCCCCGTCCAGACCCCTGGTGCTCTGCACTCCAACCTGAGACACTCCACCTGTCTGCTAGTCCAGCTGTCTCTGTGCACTCGGCCTCAGGGACCACATTCCCCCCCACCCCCCCACGCCTTTCCTGAGCCCCTGGCTCTGCGGCCTCACTGTGTCCCTGCCGTTCTGCCCATCCCTGCGACCCTGCACTAGGACGCAGCTCCACGGGAGGACAGGCAGCGCCCCCCACTCACCGGGTCCAGCAGCTCATCATCCAGCTCCACGTTGCTCATCTGTCCAATTCGGAAAAGCGCAGAACGTGGTGACTAAAAGCAGAAGAGAAATCATGAGGGCGCTCGGGCATCACACGGCCCGCACTGTGGGTTCTCATTCCCACTGCCACACCCCGGCCTCACCTGACCCTGCCTGGGAGCTCAGGAATGGGCCGGGATGGGCCTCCCTGGGTGCCAGAAGCAGGCGGCCGTCCCTCCAGGCGCCCCTTGGGCTGTCAATGAAACATCCAGCCCCTGAGCCCAGGGCGCGGGCTCCCTGCTCTAGACTGCAGGCAAGGCACCAGCCGCCCACCTGGAAAGAAGGGCTGGAGAGCACCACTGTGCCCCAGGCCACCCCACCTACCTCTGCTCCTAAGGCCCTGCTCAGCCACCTGCCACCTCCACAAAATCCCCTCCGCTGCGGCCTTTCTGGGTCCTGAGACACAAACGGTCTAGAGTGCTCAGGCTGCCCTCCCCATGGGATGGCCGGCTGTCGGGCAGAGCCGGGCGGGGTCTCAGCCACCCAAGGCTTTGCGGCCGTCCAAGCTCAGGGCAGGCGCAGGGCAGCAGGCCCCAGGAGGTGTGGTGCACGGGTGACTTACAGAGCTCCCACCCCAGTCTCCGGCTCCTCGCTGGAGCCAAGGCGCTGAGGCCAGGCTGGGAAGAGCCAAGACCTCAGCCTCCTTTCCCCAAAGAGGTCCTCTAGAGATGGCTCCAATTTCCACTATCTCCTGAACCTTTACCAACATCTAGGGCTGTGAAGGGAAGAAGGGCTGCCTCCCAGGCTGAGGGGCCATGTGCCCAGGGCGCCTGCTATCTGCATCAGAAAGCCCGTGTGCCCAAGAAGAGAGCGTCAGCAGCGGGGGAGGCCAGTGGCCGGCGCTGGCCGCGGAAAGACCGCCCCAAGGCTGCCGCTCACTTTCCCTCGGCAAATGCCCTCCTGGCCCCCAGCACTGTCCCCTTCCTCATCCCCCAACTCTCTCCCTCCACCGTCCCTGGCTCAGCCTCCCTCGTGAGGTTTCAGGAGGGCCTGTATGTGCTTCTTGGGGACAGAATTACAGGTGACAATGCCGGGAGCCCACTGGGCTGAGGTGGGGACAGGGAGATGCATGGACTGGCCTACACTGGGGCTCAATTCTCCTTCAACCTGCACCTACCCACAGGGATCACCATCACCACAGACAGGTAAGGACAGGGATGCAGAGGAGGAGGGGCTGGGACTTGAGGTCGCTGCGGGTCAGGGATGGGGTCCTGCTGCCGCTGGGTGCCCACCCCTGAGGGACGAGGGCTCCCCAAACCGCCACCCCAACGAGCCTTCAGAACCTGACCTTCCCAGCTGGGCGCGACGGCTCATGCCTATAATCACAGCACTTTGGGAGGCCCAGGCGGGCAGATCACTTGACACCAGGAGTTTGAGACCAACCTAGCCAACATGGTGAAACCCCAATCTCTACTAAAAATATAAAAATTAGCCGGGCTACTTGGGAGGCTCAGGCAGAATCGTATGAACCCAGGAGGGGGAGGTTGCACCAATTCACTCCAACCTGAGCGACAGAGCAAGACTCCATCTTAAAAAAAAAAGAACCTGACCTTCCAGTCCACTGCCCTTCAGGAGCCCCTTCCCCCGCATCCTCCCGTTGTCCTTGGTGTGCACCGCCCCCTAACCCCGTGAGGATGACCCAGTGAGTGGCCCTGGCAGGGGGACGTGGGCACAGGCCACTGGCCCTTGGCAGACACCAGTCAGACCCTCCTCCTCTCCCCAGGCAAGGAGCACCCCCAGGCCACCCCCCTCGGAAGCCAGGATCAGAAGCCGGCCAGACAGATCCGCCAGTGCCCGTCATGCCACCTCCACGCCCAGGGGACCATGCGGGAGTGGCTGGACAGTGCGGGTCCTGCTGGACAGAGCCCTGAGTCACAGGGCACCGCCCCTCCACTGTCCCCAGCCTTGTCACAAGCCAGTGGCTCTCCCTGAGCCCTCAGACACAGGCGAAACTCACAGCGTGACTCTCCTACCACACGGGCTGACAGGGTGGGAGGAGGAAGGGACCACGGTCCAGGGGTGATGGAAGGGGTGGCCTGGCTAGCGGACCCCTCCTGCCCACTTCGAACTCCAGGTCTCACCACCAGAAAATAGCCCTGGGCCAGCGCTGGGCCTCTGGCCCCCAGCTCCCAGGTGGACAGGTGCCCCAGAGACCTTGGAACCCAAAAGAACCATTTCACTGTGAGGGACCCCACGTCCAAACGGGCACCCAATGGGACACGCCCTGCCCGCAGGGCCACTCTCCGCATCACTCAAGAGACGGCACATGTCTCCCAATGCCACTGTGTGGTCTGCCGTGCTTCTGAGGCTGCTCCTTGTTGGAAATAATGGCTCATTCTGGCTGGGAGCGGTGGCTAAGCCTGTCATCCCAGCACTTTGGGAGGCCGCGGCAAGGGGATCGCTTGACCCTGGAGTTCAAAGCCAACACAGGCAACATAGTGAAACGCCATCTCTACAAAAAAGGGCACGTACCTATGGTCCAAACTACTCAGGAGGCTGAGGAAGAGGATCGCTTGAGCCTGGGAAGTCAAGGCCGCACTGAGCTATGATTGCACCACGGCTCTCTAGCCTGGCGGACACGGCAAGACACCTTCTCTAAAATTAAGACTTATTTTTTTAAAAATGCGAAACAGCCACAGCCTCGTGTCCTGGGCACCAGGCTCCGGAGGCCTTGAGGTGGGACACCGTCTACACTACAGCAGCACCACCCCGCAAGAGCAGGCAGAGCTGTGAACGAGTCAGGCCGAGGCAGAGGCTGACGGTGGAGCAGGTGAGCAGCGGGCCACCCCCGCCATCGCCTTCCCTTCTCAGCATCTCTTTCCTTAACCCAGGACTTTGAGAAGGCACCTTTCAGAATGGAAAAACATCATGTTTACTTCAAGTTGAGTGACACATTTGGTGCCGTTACTTTCTTCTTTAAATGAGTTATTATAAATTAAACATCAGCTACTGTTCCTCACACTCCCGACGCACACTGATGGACACTGATGGGAACAGGCATGCCCAGGGGACACATGCTGCTAAGAATCCCAAGCGGGGGGACGCGGGCTGGAGGGGACACGTGCTGCTAAGAATCCCGAGTGGGGGGACGCGGGCTGGAGGCGGCAAGGTTGTCAGGGTTGGGGATGGGAGGGACTAGAAAGGGGCTGAGAACGGCCTTTGTCTCCTTCCTGGTGCTGACGGGGACCTACATGCGTTTTATCAATGACAATCTCTGGATTTTGGTACCGTGCTGTTTACAGAAAGGTAAACGCTGGGGAAACTCGGTGAAGGGCACACAAGCCACCCATGCAATCTTGCAGCTTCCGTTGGATCCAGAGTAACTTAAAAGTCAGAAAAGGGCCGGGTGCGGTGGCTCAGATCTGTCATCTCAGCACTTGGGGAGGCCCAGGAGGGCAGACCCCTTGAGGTCAGGAGCTTGAGACCAGCCTGGTCAACGTGACAAAACCCTGTCTCTATTAAAAATACAAAAATTAGCTGGGTGTGGTGGCAGGTGCCTGTAGTCCCAGCTACTTGGGAGATTGAGGCATGAGAATTGCTTGAATCCGGGAGGCAGAGGTTGCAATGAACCAAGATCACACCACTGCACTCCACCCTGGGTGACAGACCAAGACCCCTTTTCAAAACGAATAAAAGTAAAAAAAAGTATAGACAAGGCGAACTACATAAAACTTTAATACTTCTGTACATCAAAGAAAACACAGATTTACAGGAAAAAAACAAGCCCATTCAAAAGTGGGCGAAGGATATGAACAGACACTTTACAAAAGAAGACATACGTGAGGCCAACAAACATATGAAAAAATGCTCATCATCACTGGTCATCAGAGAAATGCAAATCAAAACTACATTGAGATACCATCTCACGCCAGTTAGAATGGCGATCATTAAAAAATCGGGAGACAACAGATGCTGGAGAGGATGTGGAGAAATAGGAACACTTTTACACTGTTGGTGGAAGTGTAAATTAGTTCAACCATTGTGGAAGACAGTGTGGCGATTCCTCAAGGACCTAGAAATAGAAATTCCATTTGACCCAGCAATTCCATTACTGGGTATATATCCAAAGGATTATAAATCGTTCTACTGTAAGGACACGTGCACACGAATGTTCATTGCAGCACTGTTTACAATAGCAAAGACCTGGAACCAACCCAAATGCCCATCGATGATAGACTGGACAGGGAAAATGTGGCACGTATACACCATGGGATATTATGCAGCCATCAAAAACGATGAGTTTGGGTCCTTTGTAGGGACATGGATGAACCTGGAAACCATCATTCTCAGCAAAACTGACAGAAGAGCAGAAGATCAAACACTGCATGTTCTCACCCATAGGCGGGTGTTGAACAATGAGAACACATGGACACAGGGAGGGGAGCACTACACACTGGGGTCAGTTGGGGGGAAATAGGGGAGGGACGGTGGGGGGTGGGGAGTTGGGGGTGGTAGCATGGGGAGAAATGCCAGATATAGGTGAAGGGGAGGAAGGCAGCAAATCACACTGCCACGTGTGTATCTATGCAACAATCTTACATGTTCTTTACATGTACCCCCAAACCTAAAATGCAATTAAAAAAAAGAAGAAAACAAAGGAAAAAGGCAACCTATAAAATGAGAAAATATCTGCAAATCTGATAAGGAATCAATATTCAGAATCTATAAAAAACTCAGGGCCAGGTGAGGTGGCTCACATCTGTAATCTCAGCACTTTGCAAGGCCGAGATGGGTGGATCACTTGAGGTCAGGAGCTCGAGACCAGCCTGGCCAACATAGTGAAACCCTGTCTCTACTAAAAATACAAAAATTAGGTGGGTGTGAGGGTGCATGTCTATAATCCCAGCTACTCGGGAGGCTGAGACAGGAGAAGCATCCGAACCTGGGAGGCAGAGGTTGCAGTGAGCTGAGATCGCACCACTGCACTCCAACCTGATGACAGAGTGAGCCTCCATCTCAAAAAAACAAAAAACAAAGCAGCGACGGAAGGTCACGTTTGTACACCATGTTCAC